ATTTATAATGACTCTTTCATATCACCTTAAGTACCATCGAGTTGTCTACTGCCACAAAATCCCGAATGACATTCGGGCCCGACAAATGACCTCATTCCCAATTGTCCGAAATTGGTCCAGACGGGATGCAATGCTTAACTTTTCCTTGCCCAATTGGCCCTTTGACTGGAAATTGGGTCCATTTTGGGCAATGAATCTCTTCGTCATTACTTTACCGAAATAACATTTGGAACCCTTCAGTTCGTATAATCCTCAAAGTAGACTGTAAAAGACTTCTACATAAATAATAAATGTCGGTAACGAGACGCGCCAGGTTATGTTACCACTTGAGTATTCAAAATGGCACTTTTTGGTGAAAAAGAATAGATGAAGTTATATGGGAAAAAATGGAAAATACTTTCACCAACTATTGCAAGAGAATACTGACTTGTCTCGGGGGTAACGCGGGTGTTTAGGGCAAAAATTTAGTTGCAGCTAAACGTCACGGATGGCGACGTTGGTCCTAAACAGTCGTTGGAATAATGAATTCCCGGGATTTCGACAGTTTTATATTGATCTCTTCGTCATTACTTTACCGAAATGCGATATGGAACTTTTCAGTTTGTATAATTCTCAACGTAGACTGTAAAAGACTGCTAATATAATGAATATAATGTATATAATTATATTAGTAGTCAGTGCTATAAGGAGGTTAGGTTACGCAACACTGGATGCCGCCATATTATGATCACTGAACGGTCCGTTCAGCAGAAAATCGCAACATGTTCCCAGCTCATCGGTAACCGCTTTTCTCCTCTGAATGCACCCAATGTCCCCAGGGTGCGGCGAATGGTAAAAGATTAAAAGGGAGTCTTAATGTTAGGGAATAGGGCATACTTGTCTCACTTTTATATCACCTTACACCTAGTCTGAAATAAAGTTGAATTGGAAATAACGTTGTGATCAACTTCTCTTACTGTTGTTCCAGTTGCGAGGAGGGCAATATACGCACCTGCGATTCCTTACCGAGGGCCCTCGTGTTGCCGGAGTTTGAAGTACGACCGACGATCGCGGAGGCGCCACCGACGCCTTCCAAGAAGGAGGAGGCGAGTATGTATCACGTGACTCGAAAGCTGCGCACGGCGCAACTGCGCAGCCGAAAACGGCCCTCGAGCTTCGACGCAGCTTTGATCGTCCCGAGGACCCGGAGTTGCGGAACTGTGACCTCCAGCCCGATGCGACGCCGTTGGACCAGGCCGGCGCCATCTTGGATCGACACCTCCACTTCCGGTTGCTCCTCCGACTCCGCCTCGGATTTCGACGACCACCGTTTTCAAGGTAAAACATTTCTTTTCCTTATAAAAATGAAATTTCATATAAGTAATACCGTGAGCTAATCACTTTTTCACATTTTCGCTCAATTTGCTTTACGTAATAGACCCCCATTAGCTTTAATATCGATAGTTACCGGTGCAAGACATGCCGTGTAAACTATCCAAATATCCCGCGCGCCGTTTCGGCGGCCATCTTGGATCCAAGGACGAAAGCGTGGGGCGTCCTTGTAAACGCAGTTATTTCCCTGGCATTGTTTTAAGGTGAAGTGAAACATCCTTCAAATCAGTCGATTCGAATACAACACTTTTTTTTTAAGGTGATGTGAAAGTGGCGTCAAAAAGGTTTTGTTTATAAAACTTGTCTCCCAACTCGATTTACCGAATAGTTTGAAACTTTGCAACGTGAATAGGGAGACTATAAGGAAGGTCCTGAAAGTCATGAAATTTCAATTCTTTTCAAATTTGTTTATAGGTAGTTTAAAAATAGTTTATAAAAAAGGAAATTTCGCGAGTTTCAGGACCTACCTTAGGGTCTCCATATTCACGTCTTAAAGTATGAAACGATTTGAGGCACCNCGAAATTCGTCTGACCGTGCAGGCAATATTGAACCAAACGTACGGTGACTAGTCACCCATCGTAGCGAAAGGGTTAAATAACAAATAATATATTACCTCATGTTTATATACATGGAGAAAGGTGAAAGTCCCCTTGTAAGAGACTAAACGGTACCGTAGAAACGCTTTCGCTTAACGCGATTTTTTTTTTATATCAATAAATAACCCTTTGAATAGCGAAGCCTTTTCGACATATGGGCGAAATTCGTCTGACCGTGCAGGCAATATTGGACCAAACGTACGGTGACTAGTCACCCGTCGTAGCGAAAGGGTTAATTACCAAATAGTATATTACCTCATGTTTATATACATGGAGAAAGGTGAAAGTCCCCTTGTACGATACTATACGGTACCGTTGAAATGCTCTCGCTTAACTCAATTATTCTTTATATCAATAATTAATCCTTTGAGTAGCGAATCCTTTTCGACATATGGGCGAAATTCGTCTGACCGTGCAGGCAATATTGAACCAAACGTACGGTGACTAGTCACCCATCGTAGCGAAAGGGTTAAATAACAAATAATATATTACCTCATGTTTATATACATGGAGAAAGGTGAAAGTCCCCTTGTACAAGACTATACGGTACTTTATTCTTTATATCAATAATTAACCGTTTGAGTAGCGAATCCTTTTCGACATATGGGCGAAATTCATCTGACCGTGCAGGCAATATTGAACCAAACGTACGGTGACTAGTCACCCATCGTAGCGAAAGGGTTAAATAACAAATAGTATATTACCTCATGTTTATATACATGGAGAAAGGTGAAAGTCCCCTTGTACAAGACTATACGGTACTGTAGAAACGCTTTCGCTTAACTCTATTTTTTTTTTTTCGATTCCGAACAGTCGCGACGCTCGGCGAAAGAATTTGGCTGCACGGATGAAACCGGACAAGAGCGAAGCTGGCTTCGCGACCGGAAGTTCCAGTCATGGGCATCGTGTCCTCCACCTTTGCCTCGTTGGCGATACAATTCGTCTGGAACTGCCAGAAACTTTTGGACCTACCTTACAGGTGAGTCATGCGAGGTATTGAACGGCGTAAACGCGAAGTTGGACGCAATTCGCTCCCTTAAGCGGCTCTCAACTTTCGGAAAATACCTTCCGTGGTGGATTGAGCTATATGTGTGTTTACTAGGCGAATTAATTAATTACGGCAAGCTAAATGTCTTGCTGAAGAAATTTCTTGGCTTCAGTAAATGAATGGTGGACGTAATTTGCTCCCCTTAGGTTTAAGCGACTCTCAACTTTCGGAAATACTTTCCGTTGTGGATTGAGCTATATGTGTGTTTACTAGGCGAATTAATTAATTACGGCAAGCTAGATGTCTTGCTGAAGAAATTTCTTGGCTTCAGTAAATGAATGGTGTAAACGCGAAGTTGGACGCAATTCGCTCCCTTCGGTTTAAGCGACTCTCAACTTTTGGAAATACTTTCCGTTGTGGATTGAGCGATATGTGTGTTTACTAGGTGAATTAATTAATTACGGCAAGCTTAATGTCTTGCTGAAGAAATTTCTTGGCTTCAGTAAATGAATGTTGGGCGCAATTCGCTCCCTTAGGTTTAAGCGGCTCTCAACTTTCGGAAATACTTTCCGTGGTGGATTGAGCGATAAGTGTAGTTTCCTAGGCGAATTAATTAATTACGGCAAGCTAAATGTCTTGCTGAAGAAATTTCTTGGCTTCAGTAAATGGTGGACGCAATTTGCTCCTTTCGGTTTAAGCGACTCTCAACCTTCGGAAATACTTTCCGTGGTGGATTGAGCGATATGTGTGTTTACTAGGCGAATTAATTATTTACGGCAAGCTAAATGTCTTGCTGAAGAAATTTCTTGGCTTCCGTAAATGAATGGTGTAAACGCGAAGTTGGACGCAATTTGCTCTCTTCGGTTTAAGTGACTCTCAACTTTAAAAAATCCTTTCCGTGGTGGATTGAGCGATAAGTGTGTTTCCTAGGCGAATTGAGGTGAAGTGAAACCCCCTTCAAATCAGTCGATTTGTACACAACACTTTTTTTTGAGGATATTAGACCAAACTGTCCGAATCTTTGACACATCATCTAAGAATTGTCCTGACACATTCAACATTTGGATTTTCAAACCAATTTTTATTTAATGTTTCTTTTCTGTAAAATCTTTTGTTTACCGGATATGCCGATGTTTCATGCTAAATGACTCACACGATTCATTAAATGTTTCTTAAAGCATTTTTCTACGTACTTAATGTATGTGTCTTTAGTGTTCGACTTGCCTTAATTTTCGCGTTTCAATTTCATTTGTTTAACCACTCGTTTCGCTATTTAATACTTGGAATGGTTCACGCTTTAAAGAGGCAAAGATAATGAAATGGAATTATGTTTTCAGATTTATGTGTATGATAATAAACACGCGATAAAACTGCGTGAGTTGCTCTTTTTTTTTTCTTTTTTTATGTTCACAGTTGGGAACATAAAATGTTTGTCCGTCCTGAACGTCCTAGACGGACGTTTAGGTATTTTTAATAGAGTCTAAGAAATACTTAAACACTCGCCGTCCATTTTCTAATGATAATAAATGACCAGTATTACCGCGCATATATTTTGGGACAATGCCTCTTGACTTATGAGATACTTATTTACTGATCCATTCATTTGCTAATTTATTCATTTCCTCTACTAGTTTATTAGGCTGACAATTATTAGTTTGCGTAACTATTGATTGACAAAAATATCTGTTACGTTTTCCATCCGGTTAGTTTTCGATAAAATCGCAAGATAATAGTATTCCTCGGTAGTATAGTGGTCAGTATCTCATAAATTTCACTTATTTCTTCTTCATTTTATTTCGAACATAGTTTAACCTTCCAAATTTGTTACGAAATTTAAAACATATCAATGTGCAAAAAATGTCGAAGTGGTTCAATAATTATTAGTTTACATAACTATTGATCGACAAAAATATCTGTTACGTTTTCTATCCGGTTAGTTTCCGATAAAATCGCAAGATAATAGTATTCCTCGGTAGTATAGTGGCCAGTATCTCATAAATTTTCATGATTTCCTGTCATAATCGAGCGGCTGCCTTAATAACCGCCCGATCGTTGCATTCATCATGGCGTGGAATTCAAATCAGTGGATTCTTTTTCCCTCGTTCCGACCAAGAGATTACCGTTTCCCTCCTCGGTCCAGCTCCTCTGGGGGACCCCGAAATGGTATATTTAGAATTAGAAAACCTCCAACGTGGTGTCCCCGACCAACCTTGACGCTCAAGTTCACGAAGAACGTCAGCCGTGGAATTTTCGGCGGTCTTTAGCGTCATCGTAACCTGCAATATCGACCGGACAGTCATTTAAGGTGAAGTGAAATCCCCCCCTCAAATCAGTCGATTCGAATACAACACTTTTTTTTAAGGGTATTGGGCAAAATGTCCGAAACTTTGCCACGTGACTCGTGATCATCTAAGAATTGTCCTGACCAATTCAAAATTTGGATTTTTCCAAATAAAATTCTAACAGACCAGAACCAAAATGGCGTCGAGCTCTCATATTTCGATCGATATACAATTATCGAAGGCTCTGATATGAGAATCGAAAGGGTCAGGACAATTTTACGACAATTTAGAACACTTTGGTAATAGATAAACTCACATTTGAACGGGATAAGGGCAAAAAAAGTGTTTTATCCGCTTCTATGCCAAAATGATGGGAATACGAGGTCTCGGAGTGAAAAATTAATTGACCTGGAAATCACAGATGGCGCAGGGGGTCCCTCTGCAGTCAATTAGGGCCCCAGAAAGCACGAATCCAGAGGATTTCTGGAGTTTTACATCGATTTCTTGATATTTATTGCACGAAAACGACAGGTGGAGTATGCCATTTGGTACAATACCCAATTTAATTCGACCCAGCTGCCGATATGAAAACCAACGTCGGCAACGTAGGCATTTAGAAAGATCTTCTTTATCGACGTCGATCAAGTTCCTCGACGTGTTTCACTTCGCCTTAAGCGCTAACATATGTAGGTGAAATTACCGAACGCAAATCTACTATTGACAAGTCTACATTTTGTAGACTTACAGAAATACTAATTGACTCATGGTTCAAAACCAGATGTATAACCGTTCAAAGAGACGTATATAAAATGGATCCAAGTGCCGTTCCGTCCACTGTTCGTAGGGACAGTCTTGGTCTAGCCGTATCAATTGTTTAGGCAATGATCATATCTTCTAAACAATGCTCACGTTTCCTCGCCTTTGTCTCTTCGAAATATTACCTTCACATAGGATCTGGGCTTCTATGGGACTTCTGAATTCCTTGCCGTTGTGCAACTGACCATAACCTCATAAATGGCGTCGGATCTTCCCACGAGTCCTGAGTCTCCTCCTAAACGAAAGAAAAACCGAGCTAGATTGCCGATCGTTATACAGGGAGAGAAAAAAAGATCGTGAGAAGAAAATGGCATTAACGAACGGAACGAGGATCTCCAGCGACGGTTATTCCCGCAAAGATGTCACCTGAATACCAGACGCAGTCTCGCCGCGCCGTTACGTAACGGCGTCCCGCCGAGTGCAAGAGCACTCGCTGAGTGCACGCGCACTCGGAGGTATGCGGCTCCGTCACCTCGGCGCTTCCCCCTCTCTCGCTCCAGTTCCCCGTCGACTCTCCCTCTCTCTTTTCCCCCCTCCCCGATGACGCGACGTCCAGCGAGAGAGACGATATTGGTTATACCTCTCGGTACTGCGGGCGACTAGTCACCCGATCAAATTTAGGATCCATTCGTAAATTTAGGCGAATTCTGACTGGTTTTGTCAACTTCTTAAGGTGAAGTGAAACACCCTTCAAATCAGTCGATTCGAATACAACACTTTTTTTTTAAGGGTATTAGACCAAACTGTCCGAAACTTTGACACGTCACTCCTGATCATCTGAGAATTGTCCTGACACTACAAATTTGGATTTTTCAACAAAATTTTTTAACTCAGTCCAGACCAGAACCAAAATGGCGTCGAGCTCTCATATTTCGATCAATATACAATTACCGAAGGCCCTGATATGAGAAACGAAAGGGTCAGGACAATTTTACGACAATTTAGAACACTCTGGTAATCGACAAACTCGCATTTGAACGGGATAAGGGCAAAAAATGTGTTGTATGCGCTTCTATACCAAAACGATGGGAATACGAGGTCTCGGAGTGAACATTTAATTGACCTGGAAATCACAGATGGCGCAGGGGGTCCCTCTGCAGTCAATTAGGGCCCCAGAAAGCATAAATCCAGAGGATTTCTGGAGTTTTATTTCCATTACGCGCTGCCCGTCAAATTTCATTTTTCGAAAATAAAAATATGTATATCATTTTTGGTTCTTGTCCGAGATAAGTACAATATTTTTTTCGTATAAAGAAATTTCATGAGCATCGCGTACTTCTTTAGGGACTCCATAATCACAATCACGTGTTAAGGTTTCAAACTATTCGGTGGATCCAGTTTGGAGAAATGTTTTATAAA